CTGGGTAGGGTGGAGGGTCAGAGAAAAAGAGGAAGACCTCCAACGAGATGGATCGGCCAGGTGGCATCATTGATGGTGTCAAGTGTGGCAGCGGTAGTGAGGTTGGCCCAGGTTTGGGCATTGTTTCGTTTTGCTGTGCATGGGGTCGCTATGAGTCGGTTCCGACTCGATGGCACCTGACAACAACAACAACATCTACCCTGTGCACAGAGCGGATAGCATTGATACTTGATGTAAAAGACTCTTTCCCTCTCTGTTGGTATTTAGAGTAACTACCACTCTGAGTATAGGCCAGGTTCATCAAATTGAAGCAATTTATCCTTTTTTCCTTTATCCAAAAAAAAAAAAAAAATTTTCCCCCCAGTCTTCCTCTAGTTGAGTTCTGATTATCGATCCATCGAAGCTAGGTCAAATGGGTACTGTCTGCAAGTTTGGATGTTCTTGTGCATCTGCCCTCACTTCATATCAGCTGGATGCTTCACTCTCAGCTCTAGCCCTCTGTGGCTAAGTCCTTGTCTATAGGCTCAACTATCATCAGTTCTTACCACACTTTGGACCAACCAGACCTTCCTCTTCTTTCTCTCATCTCCAGGTCAACGGGATTCAATGGACTGTGGTTGAACTCAGCCCATTTCTTCATTGCTGCCTTTCTGCCTCTTCCACTCACCAGTAGAGCAATGTGGTCACCAGCAAGCTTACATGCTTGTGTATTCCCTTTGAGTTTCAGTCTTAGAGGGGAGTTTGTCCTGAAGGAACTTGATCGCTAGCCTTGGTGTCTTCCTGGCGAACAGCTTGCTTATTATTGTAGTAGGCAGTCATGTTGACATTTTTGTTTTGGGTTTTTCCTGATGATCTTTCTTTGAAGATGTATCTTCTGTCACTGTAGCTGTTCCAGTCTGCTTATCTTTTCTAGTGGGAATGTCCCACCTCATAAGGTTCTGGATGGGACCGAGGATTCCACCTAAGGTCCTATACTCTGGAAAGGCTTTGCGTGAGACCTATTTCACTGGGCAAGTTGTAGAACCCCTTTTAGGCATTCCAAACAGTTATAGGCTGGAAACGGGCTTACAAGTTTTCTCTAATCTTGTTTCCTAACATTCCTTTCTTTCCCACTCAAGTATCTATTTTACAATAGTAGGCAAGGGAAACTAATATTCATAAGGCAGTCAAGGATTTTAGTATTATTTACCTTCTTCAAGCTACACCTAGATCCCCGTATCCCAGAGCCCTGTTGTTCCAAGGTTGGATATGCATCACTATTTACCTCTGTCCCACTAGGCCATGCAAACTTGTCTCAGTGTTCCCCTATCTATCTTATTCTTCTGCCTCCTCCCCCCTTCTCGTATTGCCCTTCCCAACACCCAAAATAAACCCCCACTCCAACCCCATTGTGGTTACCTTATATTCCATTAGTTCTAACCTCCATTTAAGACTGTCTATTTTATCCAGTAATCTACCTGACCTTCCCACCACCTGGATCTCTGTTCCTCTGTGTTTACCTTCTTTCACATTATAATTGTTTTGATCATAGACTGACCTCCCAGATCCTCTGTTCTTATAATTTTATTCTGTTCTTGACTCTTTCATTTGTTGACTGAGTTCAGGTTGATGCTGCCATGTACGTCATTCTGTAGTTGTTATGTGTTCTTGTTGGTTCTCAGTCCACAGAACTTCCTTTAGGATATTTTTCATAGCAGGGTTGGCTTTGGCAAAATCCCTTAGCTTCTGTTTATCCTGGAATGTTTTGATTATGCCATCATATTTGATTGACAGCTTTGCTGGGTAGAGGACTC